ATCAAGAAATTTTATACTTTATGTAAACCCTCGATTTACTGGGGGCTTTTTGACACATTCGGTGGGCTAGCCGCCCTAGTTGAACTTGTTTTCGTTCACTGGGATAAATACAAAGAAAATCAGACCTACGTTGCGCCATTTGTCCGAATAATACCTTACTTGATTAATAGTACGCCCGGGCAGCACGAGTAAGCGAAAACTGCCACTGAATTAACAATTTACGTACTTATGGCACTTGAGTGCGACAAATTTTTGTCACACATCAGTCACTCGGAAAAAATTTTGTTGTCCCTACGTCTTCTTTTATACTTTATAGCATCTACCATTAAGTACAGAATACTAATAATGCATTGACGATGTGTGTTAAAGCCGTGTTCAACATGTTTTCTAAGTGATCGAACTTCTCAATAGATTTCACACCATGACGGCCAGGAGTACATAAACTAGAATATCAGGGCGCTTCAACAATCATCGCAGCGTACACCAATCGGTCAGTTGTGCTATGCCGGGTCATCACATTTCAAAGGTAACTCATTTGCTTATTAATCTGACGAGAATGCGGCGAGTTAAACATACATCAGTAGTGCAACTTTAGTAGCAGCTTTATTTTGACAATAATTATTGCTAATTCTCATGCTTTGGACGCATTGCAATATTTGGTATTTTTCCTTCTTACTATTAAGGTAGCAAGAGGAATGACGTTTAATAATTAGGTTAATGTTCACCACCTGGGAAACCAAGTCTGTCTGTTGGGAAGCAGCCGAAAAACTTAAACTGCTCGCTCACGTGTTCATGGTTTGTATGCTACAAACTTTTCCCTCAAAATGAAATACGTTCCACCTAGTCTGGATAATCGTCTTGCTCCACACTTTCTGCTTCATCTGAACAGACTTACTGCATGCTTTCTCTCTCTCAATTTTGATTTTTAAAGTAACTTTTTTAAAGTTAGACCAGAATGTCACATTATATGCTTACTATTTCAACCGACTTTTTCGGGGTCATTTAGCCATTGCGGAATGATATCTTTCTCATTCGAATATATACCTCTGCGGTAATAGGTTTTAACTATGTTGGTAGCCAGATACGTCAATAGACGCACCTCAGTTGGTGAGTTAGATGTGGTTTTAAGTAACTTAGCTTTTATCAGCACTATAGTGCACAAGGGTATATCTGTTAAGAAATAATCGCGAATACCCGGCTTTTTTTCAATGACTATGGCAGTTAACATATCGCATTCGGGAATATGGGTCTTAAAATATTGGCAACATTTGAGCTAAACTTTCATCACTGGCATACAATAGAACGCTGTAATACTTGCTAACCCGTCGGATCACAAATACTTAAAAGCAATTTACTTCAACGATAAACAAAAGAATGTTTTTTCTACAGCAGACTACCAAGTTGGATTTCCACCTGAAAGTTTGCCACTAACAGTAAACCGTAATGGGAATCCCTCATGTATGCACCAACTCGCCAGACATCTGAGTGAACTACACAGCAGAGACTTCTCAAACATTTGCAAATTGATGACTACTTCGAAGCGTAGCTGCAGCCTGAGAAACCACCGATTTTAAGTCTAAAGATATACGAACTTGGTTAGTTTGTAGTTGCAAAGCTGATGCACAAAAATATGCAACTCATTTCGAAGGTAACCAGATAAAATTCAGTGTTAAGCTAAATGGTTTGCCTCTATTAAAAATATTGGACTGCATAGGATTTGGCGGAGCTGCAGTTACCCCTTCGAACCAACTACAAACGATCGACGGCAGTATTGTTCTGAAGCCCTAAAGTAATAGCAAATAACTCGTCTAAAATTACTTATTACATAAGAGTTAAACAACTTAATGGGAGGTAAGTCTCAATGGTTACATCAGGATTGCTGTTGGAACGTGCACTGTTGAACAAAGACTGGTGAAGGGACATCTTGCCCGTTGCTTGAACAATGCAGTTTTCATACCATTTGTAGCCTCATATGCATTTTCGAAACATAGGTAGATGAAAGCGGAAATCACAAGTTTGTATTCAATGACATGCACTTATTCCTCAGTGTGTTATCTTCATTGTGTGTCTAAAAGGCAGTAGACGTAAAGCAACAAAACCACTGATTCGTAGTTCTGCCACACAGTTTTGACTACGGTCATTCTAAAAGGCTCGTTCACTCAGTTGGGTCTTGATTATCATTGACCTAAGAGCGCAATAATCAATATAACTTTTTATAAGCCGATTGGAGTGAACCTTCCCCAAGTCGTAATTTAACTGACCATCTACTTCATGACAGATAACAACCAGTAACAATATTTCACCAAACCCCATAAGCTTCATTGGATAGTTTACAGATATGCTCTTACATATACTTACATTAAGCCTAACAGCTATTTCATTCCGGCTCAAATCAATATTTTAATAAAATTCCTGTAGCAAGGTATCGTATGGTGAACCTGACAACTGCGCTGCTGTCTTCTCAGGTTTCACAACACATTTTTGCCGCAAGTCAGTGGCATAATTTCCATATGTTAACTATAGACTATACAGTAAATGAAAACCAAATTATGACAGTCATTCATGAATAGTTACGTATTCCGACTTAAAATACGTATTTCAAAACTCTCATGTTCTCTAGCATTAGGGTTCTTGTAGACAAAATGCTTAACAATCGCATGGATACTTTTAGTGGCGCGGGCTACAGAATCAGTAACACCTTCCATCCAAACCAATTGGTTACCATTATTGCGTTCGTAATTTACCGCAACTGTTTGTTTCGAACTATTTGCACAGCTTATGCCCTATGCCTAAATGCTTACTTGACGATCTGTGTCTACAGGGTAAAATCCACACAAGACCGACAAGAAACTAGCTAATAAATGCAATGTAATATCCACATCAAATAAGCAACTAGATTTTAATCGCGAATTTTTTAAAATGCCCTGCTTCAGTTCACGGCTTACTAATTCTGGCGTTGAGGTATCCGATGTTGTTAGCTAAGAAACTTTCCTGCTGTATCGTAGTATTTGAAAAGAAGAGAATTTCAGCGCCCTATTGTTATAAGTCAAATATGTATCACATTAAGCCCTTTATTTTGTATGCAAAGCGTAGGACATTGTGAAACGGTTACACTAATGCTCGCTCTTTCCTTCATAACTAAGGAAGAATTGCATAAACGTGTGTTCTTAAAAGTGTAAGATAAATAGTGTATGTATTGGCCAAGGAAAATTGAAAGGTTAATCGCTGGATAGAGTAAATTGGGTTAAAAGCCACAGTAAACACCTCGCAATGTATCTACCCAATGTGATATCATGTTTTTACAAACATCCGGGACTTTACTCATTTTGATGATACTTGCGTTGGGCTTGACAGAAGAACATGCGATGTATTGTCTGGACTGGACGCCGTATATATCTTATTGGCATTCAAGCATTTCTGTAACCAAGCTGTTTAAAGTTAGTGAATGATTAACTGAATTGCGCTCGCTTGTGAACAGTAGTATTGTGCATATTGCAAAGTAGAGATAGAAATTCCTTGCGTTTATCAGGGGGAATCCTTGTCATCCAGTTCCCACTCAAACCATTCAACAAGCATTGCACACAGATCTGATGGTCTTCTTCCTTGCTTGATGACATCAGGGTCGCGTATCCCTCCACTTTCATGGCTAAGTACTCCTCAACTGTTGAAAGTCGCCAGCTTAGCTTTCAGACCGCCTCTACTGGTGACGGTCTGTGCGAGTAGTTGTGGATCTGGACGTCAATCATGTCCTACTCATGTTGAATATATGGGTAATAGTGACGAATGAGCCTAGTTCTATTGCGGCTGGCAATTATTCAGGGTAGTGTTTCGCCCTCGCGGAAGACCTGGTGGCAAAATCCAGTGAATTCAACTACACGGCTGATGACTTTGACTCCCGAGAATGCCATTGACATGAATGCTTTTGATGAATTCCAATACAATGAAGCACCCATCTATAGCTTTCATGGCTATATGGTATGTTAATTGGCTGCGACCTGACCAGGAAGAAATCTGCGTCACAATCTTCCCAGTTTCACTAGAATCATGCTTATCTTTGTGCTTTGCGACTAAAAGACCCTTCACCAATGATTAGCAATTAACTCTGCACAAACAGTAACAGTCAGCAAATATACTCCTTTGATTAAATTTAAGTGGTTATACAACCAATAGGTCACCAATTCAACAATTGATACACTAATCCAGAAACACGCCAGACGATCAATTCGCCCTAGCAGGGTTTGTAAGTATTGCGCATCCCCTCGATCATCTTCATGAAATCGAACCAGCGCGCACCAGCAATCTTCGCCAAATATCGAACAGCTTATGCCACTGACACACGGGACTGATAAATTCACCAGGATATAGCGCAACCTATTCTGCACTGGCCTCCAGGTTGCCAACCTTTCAGAAGATATTGGCTGGCCTCGAAAGGTCACTACTTCCGCAGCACGATAGCTATGTATTACATGCTAGATTTCTGCTCATACCGTTCATCCTTTTTAACACCATGCACATTATTCATGATCACTAGGATTGGTGGTAGAAGTCCTAATTTGGAGACCAAACCATTGACTGCGACTTTGTCTACTCAAAGGTCACACCTGATTTCACGTATTGAGTTTAAACTAAATGATGCTTGTATGTTCACAACTAAATGAAATACAATAATCCACGAATGCAGCCCAGATACTGCGACACGTTTTCGCTTTATCAACTTACAGAACAATCATCGTTTTGTCTTATACTTTACATGTGGTACCAATGCTTACTCTTCAGTTTACTGACAAAATGTAAAGCCAGTTGAAAAAGGGTTTATAGCTTCGAAAAAACGTACGTAATTCGTTTAACATTGCTACACTTATAACTTAAGCATCCGTCAGCCCGTTTCAATACATTTGTTTTTGGCAATGAAGCATGAACTTGGGCCATCAAACTGTCGAATTTTGTTTCATTCAGGAACGATTTATAACGCAAAATTTCCTGCTCGTTTCATTGAATAGGCTACGGGTTTATTGATTTTATGTCAGCTGAAGCTGCCAACGAAGCCCTGAGACATATCAGAGAGACCTACCCGGCTTTCACAATAAAATTTGCAAAGGTGAGCTCTATTCTGTAGTAAATGTAATCGGACAAATCGCTTTGATATAATTTGTTTCACTTTACTTACCCAGCTAAGCCTTATGGATGGAGCTACAGAGCAGTTTGTAACTAAGCCAATAATGCTTGCTGAACTCGAAATTATCGCAATATCATACTTGTTCGAGATAATCTAAATAAAGTTCGTTATGTGGGGGCTCCGCTTCCAGCCACCCTAAGTGCACTAATTTGTCCAACACTTATGGTATTTCACAATTAATTGACAGGAATGCAACACACTACGAGTGTTGTATTTTGTGAAACATCTGCTCGAAAAAATAGACCAAAGTCTGATTGCTAATTAACCTCGAGCGACACACGGAACATTCTACTCCAGATGTTTCATTAAACATTTACTAGAAAATGTTCATCTACGGCCAACACACGATATCCCATCGGCTTTTTGTAACAAACCAAAACTGCCAAGCATATTTACTTCAAATTCATGCCAGCGTACGCTACTTTCCTCAAAATGATTGTCTTAAAGACAACTTCGCTGTATGTTATGCTTATTGTTGTTTAAACATTTTATTTTACCCAGCGAATGTGAATACTTGCACAGGTATTTGGGTCAATGCACCGTTTTGATACATTACGCAATCACAACAATCGTAACGGCAATACATTGCTACAGGTGCCCCCAGCTTATACATAATCGCCGAGTATAATATAAGGCACTGATTGCATAATATGCTCACTGGGATGCATTTTCTGCCTGCATACTTGTGGTACACCTCTCTGGATCTGTGATACCTCAATGCTTACCTTAAAGAGTATTTTATACTTCGTTATATAACCGGCACGGAAACATTCCACGTGAATGTATATCCAAAGTTTTGAACTGCAATCAAAAGATTTTTCAGGTAACATCCTAGTTCCTTCCAATTAGTTGAGCCTTTCTGATAAAATAAATGTGCAGCTTTGAATTTATCAAGTTTTAGAGGAAGTTGGTTTAATTCATTGATGATTTATAGAAGTCATTGATCGATCATTGGAACAATGGTGTGGTACGGGGGAAAAAGCAATGCTTGACAAGTCCGATGGGATGAAAATAACTGCAAAAATACAATTGCATGAAAAAGTTAGAAGCGTTTGGTGGACTTACTATAGAGTTGTGTAGAATGATGGAGATGTACGCGCATTAAAGTTTACATCCACTGGTTGGGAGTTTGCTAAGACACCGTTTGATTGCATTTTGTAACGCCCTGGCTAACAAGTTATAAAATGAAATGCAAATGAGACAACACATGATCAACTCCCTCTTTTAACTATTGCCAGATGGGGAGCAGAGACGACATAATTGGAGAGGGGGTTCCTAGGCTGACACACTCGGAGAAGAAAGAAATTTATACGATATGCAAACCGGCCATACTGTATTGTCAGTTTCAGACCATGACCTCTTTTGTTAATGTTATGGTTCAATTTCAACAGCGGACAGCAAATGTGGTTTGGGTTCTTCAGAATCTGGTAAACCATTATGAGATCTCTCCGCAAACGCCGATATCGACTGTTGTACATCCTTATGGATTTCCGTCTAAGCTGATAGGACAGATGAAAGGGGCCCCTGACGTTCTTGATTGCTGTCCGTTGAGGAGTCTCGAGAGCAGCGAGATCCTGTTTCTGCCACGGCTGCCACGCCTGAATAGCATATTCCACGTGAGGTCACACATGGGCGTTAAGCAGTTGGTGACGCTTGAGGGTACAGAATAAGCGAAATCTCTGCGAAGAAGGCCGAAGTGTTGATTGCCGGTTTGGACGCCTTCTCTGCTTGTGTTGAACACCCGAGATCTTCCTCTACCAGTAGACCCATGTCACGCTCCTGAGAGGCCATCTGCAAAGTTTGGTCTCCAAGCTTGTAAGTGCTCACCGGCTGGTGATGCAGATGGAGCACCTTGCACTTACCTATGTTCAACTGAAGCAGGTTCCTCGTTGACCATTTCTAAATGCAAGCAGTCATGTTGGACTAGATCATGATCATCATTATTATTAAGGGCCCGCTATAACATTATTAGAGAAAATCAGGAAAGTGGAGGAGATAACTCTTGCCAGGTTATTGATAAACACCAGGAATAAGCGCGGTCCCAGCATTGAACCTTGTGGTTAGACAGTGATCCCGTAACGCTTACTTAAATTCTCCGTTTGTAAATAAAGTTTCCAATCCAAATTTTAAGAAGATTGTTGACATGTCTATGCAGCAGTTTGTTGTTTGCCAGGAATTATTTGGATAGGTACTACCCATAAGATACTTTGTCCTCACGAATAAATACAGTGTAATGATTGCAATAGATCAGGAAATTACCCCGACTCTCTCAGTCGGGGTTAACCATGTGGGCACGCCATGCTGCATCTCTTATGGCCATGCATTGTCGAGCACCGCCTCTTTGGAATTGAAGGCATAATTGCAGGACGAAGGAGCTTGCTCTCTGATACTCTGTTGAAGATGTTGCTGAGTCTTTCAACGAACTCTATCCAAAAGTTTTCAAGGGACTGTTGTTTGCGGATTCCCAGACAGATGCATCGACAAGTTCTTTCAATACATGGTAGCGTGTAATTGGTGTGTTAGTTCCGAGTGTTCAGATGGATACCCTGCTTAACACACAGTTGAACGTTATTATTGCATAGTCACTGAGACCTATTGGACTATCCATCAATAACTTCTCAACCATGAGCTCTTCATTTGTGAGCACAAGGTCCAATGTGGACGGTTTGCTTGCTGTCCTGAATCTCGTTGGCGTGTTGACATGATTGTACGAAGGGATGTTAGCGATAAGTTCATGCAACTCTTCTTTGCACTGTTCACTGGATGAGGCCGATACCACCAGATCGTGTAGCTTAGAGTCCCTGGAGATGAGAATGTGGCTATACCTAGTGCGTGTTACGCTGTTCAGAACACGTTTCAAGCGGCTATCCATTTCAGAGTGGACCTTGGGGGCGGTAAACGACAGTTATGTAACATGTGTCATTGTATCTTAGTCGGAGATGGTAACAGAATGAGTCGCTAACGTGAGTTTCCAAATTATCAACTATTGCACATTGCACGTCGCTGCGGTGCCATATAAGGACCCTAACTCCTCTGCTGAGGCACTCTTTCCAGATGAGTGACATTTCCTCAACTTCAGCTTCAGCTGCTTTTTGGTGCAACCACTATTTGGTAATAGAAATAAGGTCCCAAGCAATCGCAACCTAACGTAGCCGAAGTTCACTAACCTTACTGAGCTGCCCATGGACGCTAGTGAACATATATGAAACTTTCTCAGAGTGACGCAATGGTTCGGTGGTTGTGCAATTCATAAGTAAAGTTTCGCCAACCAGAGACTGTCCAGTGACTAATCGTTCTTACGGTGTGTACTTGGATAAGGGTACAACGTCTTATTCATCGTCTGCGTAGTTAGTCCCGTGTCTAATATTCTACGTACAGTGTAGGGTGCCTGGTCAATATCATCTGCTACAGGTTATATGGGTACATTAGACCCAATACTAGTGCATCGTTCTTTTATAGATCCTATCGTATTTGGGTCGATGAGTGACGTATCGTCGTTTGGAGGCACATTGCCGACTGTCTTCAGCCGAAGCTCAGATGGTAGCCTGCAAAGAAACATGTACCAGTTGTTTAGAAGCCGTGCTACCATATGTTTTGACTGCAGGGCCACTTTCAACGCTCTCGGCTCAATTTCTTTGTAGTTTGGTGAAGTGCGCAAACGTAACGCGGATTACGGTAGCACATCATTCAAGCAGAATGTTTCACACATATAAAACTCTGCTCCGCGCCTCCGTTTCTGATCCAGTTGGAGGCGATGTTACTTTTAAATGACGCCTGTTCTTGGAAGCGACCGTAACCCAACTTTCGCTAGTATCGGTTTGCGCTTTTTCTACCCACTTCGCCGGGTGACTGGAAGTAGCCTTACCTGTAGTTATTCCGATCTAATTGCGAACCGCCTTCGTAATTTGTGAGCGACATGTGAAGTTGGAACAACAGTTGATTTTCTGGGCTCGTGGGTCCTTTTTGTTTATGGTGTTACTAGCCCTTCTCCTCAGGATAGGAGCAGCGCTTATGGGGGAGGATTGGGTTACACAGTACGCTATGCTTACCCCAACCGTGGTGACTTTGCTTTGCATCATTTCCTCAAAAGTGCTAGTATTTCGTCGTACTTCTGAGATAATAGGAGCAGGCATTTATCAGTTGGGTAGATGTGCATTCCACGCAGAAACATGAAGAAGCTGGTTTGTTTAATAACTTGACCTGACTAGCTTTAACTCAGAGACATTTAGCATGGAAAATCTTGCAGCAGTTACGGCACGGAATGCTCCCCTTAACAAGTTTGGAACATGAACCACATAGGTTTTTAGGTTGTGGCACACTGGACATCGCGCTTGTTGAACAAATGTTACGAACCATTTGAAAGACTCACCCTCTATGGTAACAAGTTGTTCTATCACTGAGGTTGACGGCAAGGTCACAGTGTTCACATCTCAGTTGGGCGCTTGCAGCCTGTCATCTCTGGCGTGCCAGTCAAAGGTGTCAGCTGGAATATAGGGCAAGTTACAGGAAGGTGTGATTGAGAATTTTTGTGCTTGGGCCTATGGATCGCGCCGGGTGAATTTGCCTTGAGACCTGAAGCTGCTCCAAGCAATGTTGGATTTGAACGTGTGACAGTTCGTTCGAAAGCCATTATAATGGTTTATCGAGTGAAATGAAACAATGTCTCCGATGGTTAACGCTACGCAAATTTTGATGCTGAGATATCGGCGAATTTAGAATTCTGGGTAAATGTAGAATGCACTGAAGTGTGCTCGAAAAATGGTATCACAAGGTGGAGCTTTTAAAAGCACGACGAATAAGTAGAGATCCAAAGATGTGCGACGAAATGCCGGTGAGATACAGTGAATAAATCACCAGTGCAAAGGTGAGCGATTTGCATGCACTTTCACTCAAGGTCAACTTTGTTATAAACAAGTGATGGA